AAAAAAAAAAAAAAAAAAAAAAAAGCTGAAGCAATTTCGAGATTCGAATAAAGCAAGCATTCACAAAAGGATTGCAAAGCTTTTAATGAGTAACCGTGCGTAATTCAAGATTCTATTGAATTGACAACGGCTTCGTAATAATGGAACACCCTTTATTTTCTATTGTCCTATCGTAGTTTAGGTAGAGAATATTTTAACTCAGGTTTTTTACTCAAGTAATTTGAAATTAATTAATACTATCATATAATCTTACTAATATTATAAATGCGAAAGTTACGATGGATGGATGTTTGTAAGCGTTTGTAGCCTAAACGGCTGAACGGATCTAAATGAAATTTGACACAGGTTTAGAGCATAGTCTGGAAGAACACATAGGCTACTTTTTATCCCGGGAATAGTTACGGTTCCCGTGGGATTCATTAATTTAGTTTTGTAATGTTTATTTGAGCATTCTGCAACGGTTCAACATATGTATGTTATTGAAATTTGGCACAGATGTAAAACAAAGTCTGGAGTACACATGGGATAAGGTTCATCCTCGAGAAATGTCCGGTTTCCGAGGCATACTTAGCTTTTTGTTATTCATATAGTTCGTGTGTTTTTTACCACGCGGAAGTTGCGGGCAACAGCTAGTTGAAAATAAAATTGCGTAATAGTTTTGTGATTAAAATGTTGAAAATAACGAATTTGTTGAAAATTAGTTGAACAATTAAAATGTTAAATAATAATTGAATTGGAAACATTTCCGATGGAGATTGTCTATTAATATGCAAAAATATTGTTTCCTTCAGATTGGATATTGATTCTATTAGAAGGTATTTCGTTGGGAAAAGTGGAAATTTCAATCTGGAACAAAATTAACTTTTATAATACATTTTTAGAAATGTTAATAGATTTTGTATTCCATTTTAAAGACTTTAACGATTAGGCATTTATGTTTCGTATTTACAAAAGTTAACAAAAAAAAGTGTATAGTCTATGTGTTCTTCCAGACTATCCTCTACATCTATGCCAAATTTCGTGATCCGTTCAGCAGTTTAGGCTAGAAACTCTAACATTCATTCATCCATCTAAACATCATCATCATCATCATCATCTCCTTATCCTACTCCCGTAAGGTCGGCGCAACAGGTTTTTGTCCTCCACATAACTATCATACGTCATCTCAGTCATCACTCCCTTTTTGATCATGTCACTTTTGACACAATCCATCCATCTCTTTCTAGTTCTAAACGTTCTGAGTTATAACATTAGTAAAATTAAAAAAAAACATTTTTTTAGTAATATTTTATGTATTTAAACTTGTAAATATCTTTGCTCTTTATTTAAATCAATATTAAATTCATTAAGATTACGAACAGTTCGCGCGGTTGCCTCATTAAGGCATCACTACGTCCCTTTGAATATCATCATTATTATAGCTCCTTAAGAAATAATACAATGAGCCCCTATTAAAACTTTTGTACTCAATTCGTTCTACAAAACTATAATATGATAATAAAGTTTTCTTGTAGTTGCATAGTTTTATTACACTGATTTCATCAAACTGGAAAACTTGGAGAAATCATTAAGAAAGATTCAATACTTTTTGAGTTAATTAGACTTTTATTCCACATAAATGTTGGTAATAATTTATTACTGGCTCGTCACAAATCCGTCTGCATGTAATTAAAAAACAAAAGTAGTTTAAGTTTTCTTCAATACTTTGCTCTACATCTATGCCAAATTTCATTAAGATCCTTTCAGCTGTTTAGGCTACAAACACTAACATCCAAGCATCAAACTCTCGCATTAAATATTACCTTACCTTCTGTTACTTTTTATAGCGTAGTACCAAAAGTGTCTAGACAAACCCGCAATTGGGTTTACGGACACTTTCATATTATTATGTATTAAAATAAATAAATAAATAAATAAATAAATAAAAAAAAGTAAGATGATAGATTCGATGTTCTCTTTATTATAAATCCAAGTAAAAATTGATTATATTAAATAGATCTTAAAAGGATCTCTTTTGATACACTTGATTCAATCGACTTCCTTTTCTTGTTACAAAGTTGGTTGTTCACCGCAATGCATTAGCTTCTCTTTGATTCTATTTAGCT